AGAGAGAGAGATAGAGAGAGAGAGAGAGAGAGATAGAGAGAGAGAGAGAGAGAGTGAGAGATAGATAGAGAGAAAGAGAGAGTGAGAGATAGATAGAGAGAAAGAGAGAGCGAGAGAGAGAGAGAGAGAGAGAGAGAGAGAGAAAGAGGAAAAAGCGATCGTGCCCAACGGGGTTGGCGTATTTGTGTTCACCGGGCGTCATCTTCGTTGAGAAAAGAATATCGCGTCAGTGCATCGGATAAGAGCGGAGGCCGGTAATATTTTCTAGAAAGATAAAGTATATACATATACATGCATGTACACGCGTACACAGGCCCAGAGGTGGATGTACAAGTGGATCTACATAGAGCTAGTATAGGTGAGCGCATAACCGTGGCAGCTTTAATATAGGAGATGTTGGGTAAACAAAAGCGTAGACGTGGACCGGCGGGTACACGGAGTGAATGAGCGGAGAGTGGCGAGTGCGAGTGCTCGGATGATGGTTAGCAGTGGTACCGTTAGTACCGATGCCGGCGGTTCACCCGCCGAGCCGAGCCGAGCCGAGCCGCGCCGGGTGCGCTGGGCAGAGGCAGAGGTGGAGGAAGAAAAGGTTTCTCTCGGACCGAAAAGGGATGCTGAGAGTGGAGGTGGAGGTGGAGGAAGAGAGGTTGGAGGAGGTGGCGCGGCCGCGTGTAGCTCCAGCGCGTTAAGCACCGCTTGGCTTGGTTTAATTTTCCTGATGTAGGTAGGCGATGGTGGGTCCGACCGCCTCGTTCACCCCTGGGTCACCCCCGCCGCATCACCCCATCGGTACCCTCGTTCTCCGTCTCTCTCCCGCGCTCCTTCTGCCGGCGCTACCGCTAGCTGTTAAGCGCTACCGGTTGTTACGGCCAGACAGAGAAAGAGAACGCTGGGCGAGCAAAAGACTGACAGAGGGAAAAACGGAGAGGGTAAGAGAGGAGAAAGAGAGAGAGAGAGGGCAAGTGGAAGGTAGACGGATCGAGTGGACGCGGCGGCGAGCGGGAGAGAGACCGGAGGAAGGTACCAGTGCTCTCCGCACCTCCACCATCAATGTTTGACGTCGGTAGCCCTGGCTCTGGACCGCCTCGAGATGAATCCATCACGTTAAACAATGTAAATGTTAGCCCGTCTCAGCATAAAACTAATAACCATTGCTCTCTCCCTCGTCCTATGGGCATGGCCTCCAGCCGCGGTTCGCCGGATTCTCGTTCACCTCTACCTTCGCCTGCTCCTACTACTCCTACTTCTCCTTCTACTCGGCCTCCGCCGCCTCCTATGCCTCATCTTCCTCATCTTCTCTTTCTGTTTCGACCGCTCGCTTCCGATCTCCGCTACGTGGCCTCATTAAAAAGTCGGCACCCGCCGACGCGCGGACGTCTCCTGTTACCAGTTACGCATTGTTGGGGAGAACGATGGTACCCGAGTGCTATTCTTCCGCTACTGCCTGACCAATGAGTTCTTACGCTTCGTTCGGTCGACTATTGTGTTGTCGGTATGGTTGCGCCGCAGAATCCGCCGCGCGATTGGGTATTTTTGCGGAGATCGTTTGAATATCGTTCACTCAGGAAATGATTGTTTGGGGTAATGGAGCCGGTTACTTTGGGCTGAACAATTGCTGCGCCTTTGGTTCGTTTTCAGGCACGATCAACTTTATATTTATCGTACAAGACGTATTAATTTTTGTTAATTAATCTAGTTTGTTCTGTTTGTAATAAAAATATTTAATATGTCCTATTCGATAAATACAGTGTTAATTATAAAGGAAAACAGACCAGAGGCACAGCAATTGGTCATCTATAGTCACCGCCTCCACTACCCTAACTATAATGTAGCATCGTCTTATCGTTCTAGAGTTTTTTCCCTGTTCATAATTAACCCTTGTACGTAAATTGGGTCTATATGATCCAAAGTGAGAAGCTAGAATTCCTTATTCTTTCGCTTTTAATCCATTATTTGTACTGAAATTTTTTCATATTCTCGAATGTATAGCAAATGTTAACAATCTTTGCAGAGGCAAATGTAGTTTATATTCTATATTTTAATAAGAATCATTTTTATTTTTGTGTACATATATAGAATTTGTGGGTCATTACACCATATATATTTCAGATTTTAATGAAACTTTATTTTCTGTGTCGTTGGAAAATGAAGGACCGATCATGCCGATTACGTTTATGCATAACCATATCACCGGCGGAGAATTAATAAAACCGCAGTCTATTAATTGAAGTTTCACTCCAGAACTCCTAAGAAGTGAGGGGAGGGGATAAAGAAAATATATATAAATATTAAATTTTGACATGTAAATAACATTAAGTAATTTTCCAAAAAATTTTTACACATGCAATTCGTGTTAAACGCGTGCTTGTTAATAAAATCCGCACATAATTCACATTTGCAGGTATCTGCACTTAAAAATTACATGTATATGTTAACAATATTTGAAACTTTCACATGAATGCAGTCCAGTGTCTATCGCTTTTAATCAATTTTGTACAAGTCTTCTCAAAGTGAAAAATTCTTATGAAATGCATAAATAACTGAAATATAACACGCGTAAAAATGTATTACACACTTTGCAGTTGATATTCTATAGGGAATAATAAAAATAATTAATTTCAATTCGATTTGAAAATTTTCGCTTTACAACGTTATATCGGCTCATAGAGTTATCCAAAAGAACTAATGTTTTGGATTTTGAAGCTTCGATAAGTGCTCGCTTAAAAGGAAAAAAAGATTTATTTCAATATAAAAGTTGAAGAATTGACTTTTGGCCACGAATTACCGGTTCCCGCGCTACTGTGCAATAATAGCAATATGCTCGAGGGCCGAAGAAAATAATAGCTCGCTGTTACTGTTGCATTTTAACGACACGAAACACAAGAGCCTCCGTATGGCGCACTGTTCAATGCTGCGTTCGCTTCGGCAAATGAATGCCAGTTGCGTTGCTTCGCTTTCAGTATGCGATGGTAGATGAATTCTTAGAAACCGCACTCGAATCTGACGACACTCGATGGATTGCGGATTTCAGTGAAGACGAGCAGATCGGGGGACCAGTGAACGGAGTACGGAGGACCCTCCAGCAGACAGAGGACTCCGACCCCAGTTCCGTCTTCGACAGCGTCTTTATGTCCATGTCCGACACTCTCAACTCGATAAATACTCTCGAAAGTTCCGATCAAACTCCCGACGACAAACCACAAAACACTACCACCAACAGAATTTCATTAGTACAGCGCGACACCACACGGTAAAACCATACAGACATTTCGCATTACTATAGTAACGCTTTCGATCTGTTTGCATTGGAACCGTGCCATTCGTTCCTCTCTTAATTTTCTGCCGAATCTACGAATGAAATCTGTTGTCCCACAAACGTTACATAAGTCTTCGATGTTGAAACGAAACGAGGAGTAATAAGAATTATTTGTTTTCGACATTAAATTGTTTTAGTCAATTTGTCTTCGGTGTGTGTAATATATGTTATTTATTGCTCTCTATTGTTATATATAAAATATTGATTTGTATATGAGACATGATTCTGTTCAGACTAATGTATACTGTGACGGGGAATTAACACTTTGACTGACCATCACCCATGTTACAATAATTTCTCCCTAACTCGCGTTCAGATTGCGCATAAAAATGGACAATTTGGGAAGAAGAGATCTTTTAGTTGTTGACAATCGGTAACTATAAAAACGAAACTCGAATAATCGTATCTCGTCTTCCCAAATTGTCTATTTATGTGCGCAATCTGAGCGCGAATTAGAAAGAAATTACTGTATATGGAATTATTTACTGCGATTTGAAGATAAATTTTTATGCTATTTTATCACCTTTTCCTAATTTTAGTACGATCGTTGAACCGGTAATTGATGTTATACAATTTAATTTTTTAATTTTAATGTGGGTCAAATAAATTACTTTAATTTTATGAAGATTTTGACATGGCTGTTAAAAAGCATATTTAACACTGGAACTATCGGGTCCTAAACTAATATATAGTGCCTTATAACAAAGATTAGATTTATTTATATTTCATAGGAATTTCATTCCGATGAACGACGAAGTTTATCTAAAAATTATTAATTAATTTTTATAATGTCAGGAACGGTAAAAGAAAAAATCAGACACTAGGCATTCCGATTTGTTTGGTAGTTCTAGTGTTAATCATGGTCCGACAATACTTTTTATGGCCGAACGGCTGCCAACGAGTTCATCTCGATCTAAACGATAAGCATTCCCATTCAGAACCGATTTTATAGGTCCAATGTTCTCAAATTACGTATACATGCTTGGTTATATTCCAGAATAACATGGTGTAGTTTTATGCTATTACCTTAAACAGCATGTCACACTTTTTACGGTTTCCACGATTTAAGTTGTATACTTTCCAAGGAACAAAACCATAATCTAAATGTATTTAAAAGCGAACTAACGTGATGCAGGACAAAAGTTTATCGACAAAACGATTTTTGACTCCTCTGAATGGGAATACCCTTTTTTCGTTACTACAAATTTCTATATAAGATCTGCTATTACCTTTTTAAAGTACTATGTATAATTTCTTTTTTTCCTTATTTAGTACTGCGATGGATACATAAAGGACATGCCTAATTACCAGTCTAATTCAGAGGAATTCTTTCTGAAAAATTAATGGACTTAAACGGGTACCTTATTTACAAATATAGATGTTGCCCAATTTGTAACAACATTCTTGCATCAAAATCTCACGAAACGTTTAAATAACAGTCTCTGTTATTCGTAAAGCTGAAAAATTCGATTTTTGACAACACTCGGTCGTTTATCCAAACTGTATAATTATACCATGTTTAATTTCTTCATTTTTACGAATTAAAGAGAGTGTTCCTATTAAAAAAATATTCTTTGCCCAAACAAAATTATATTTCACAACAGCAGAATCTTCAAGCTATTACGCGGACACTATTTAAGACTCGATAGCAAGAAAATAACTATATAAATTAAGCAATACATGTACTTTTAAATAAGTTTGTCCTTTACAGAAAGGGTTCATTAATGATCTCGAAAAGGATTCCCAAAAATCGTATTTTTCTTAGACAGTTAACTATGCACGATTCCGTCGGATAAATTATGCTTACTTTATTTCCGATTGTCGACGGTGCACAGTGTATCTCGCCGAAAGCGGTACTATTTCCTGATAGTACACATTATCGAATGTAAAGAAAAGAATGGAAACTCGATCGAGCGAGTCATTAGCGAGTTAATCGTGAATTGGTCCCGTTGAGACGTTCAGTTTGGTTGCGCAGGGGTTCCGACAGCGGATTGTACCAAACGCCACCGGTACCTCGAGGAACAATGGAGGGTAGCTTCGTGTCGGAGGATCTGTCCTTGACATTACCCACGGGATACGGGGGTGGCAGGGAGTCGGACCAATTGAGCGTTTCCTCGTCCTCGAGCGTCGGTGGACCGAGCCCACGGGATCGGCGTTGTTTGCCCAACGATTCCAGCGCCGCCGGGATTTACTTGCCAATGGCACCCTTGTCCAGTTCTCTCCACAGCCCCGCCTCTAACAATAAAGTCTCGGTAAGAACGAGTTCCCTTTACTTTTCGATCCTCGATCCTTGATCGAGGGTCGCACGAGGTCACCAAGCACAGCCGTGCAAAGGGAAGCTTTTTAGACTTCCCCCCTCTCTTTTTTGCCCGTTTCGTGACATTTCATTACGTTTACACGCTAACTTAACATTTACGTTCTGTGATTTCATCGACGCGAATTTTCGCGAATTTTTCTGAGTTCTTGTCTTCTTACGTTCTAGATTGTCTGCTTTAAATCTTTCGGCATTTTCTATTTTGAGTATTTTAGAATTTTCTGTCTCTTTTGACATTTTCTATTTTGAATATTTTCTAGTATTTTTAGTTCTAATATACTAATATTCTGAGTATTTTATATTTTGAATGTTTCGGTATTTTTTATTTTTCAACGGTTTTTTCGAGTCTAATGTTAACGAGAATTCCTAGTCTCCGCCTCGTCATTAAGATCACTATTTTCCGGATGAACGATTTGTTCTTACGTGCTCACTTTTTATTCTCGCAATCGACGACTATCCTCTTTTTTATACGAATAACTCTAGCGTGTAACATCCGCACGCCTTACAGTTCGTTAACATGGACAAATCGATCGCGGCTTAATTGGCCCAGTATTCCGACGTCCGTTGTGCTTTCCTTCCAAGCTATCGCGTGGATCTGCCATTAACATAGCGTTCCTGTCGAATAGCAGTGAAAAAAAGTTTATTATCCGGAAATAATTATTAGAAACGAGCTGTTACGATCAGTGCACATCATCTGATGATATCGTGACTAAAATTTCGGAGGCTTTCTATCCATTTTTTAAGAACCTCATCCGTCCCTCGTGTCACTTTAACATACTTTTTTATTTACTGATTTTAAATGAATAGTGTCTTCTTTATATTGTTTTCTTATTTCTCATGAATTTGTATATATATATATTTTTAATTGAAGAACGATAATAACTATAATTACATTGGAAAATATTACATCGTTTTTTAGTTTTGAATTGTCGCACGGTTTGATACATTAGGAATCCGAATGTATAATGCAATATTATACAGGGCATCCCAAAAATGTCTCGTAATCCGGAAATTGAGGGTTCCTGAGGTGATTTGAAGTAACTTTTCTCTTAGCGAAAATGCAATCCGTTGCTTTGTTTGCATATTATTAACGAAAAACACAGACCAATAAAAGGCGAGCCGTCTGTGGGCGAGGCGACCCGCTCATTGGCTCGGCCGTTTCGCGCCAGCTGATCTCGCCTTTCATTGGTCACTGTTTTTCGTTAATAACTCGTAAACAAAGCCGCGTATTGCGTTTTCGTTAAGGAAAAAGTTACGTCAAATGATCTCAGGAACCCACATTTCCAGATTATGACACATTTTTGGGACACCCTGTATACTAATAATAGAATATCCATTTCACAGAAAACTGTAAGCATTATTTGATAAAATAACCAGTTTATCGATTCATAGGATCTAGAAATGTACATAGTTCGTGCCGGTACATTATGCCGACAATTAATAATCATTTCTCAGAATACGAGTACGTTTTATCACGTCTCTAAAATTTTATAGCAGTTAACATGTAATTTGTCCCCCGTTTCAAATGATAACGAGACTTTTAATATATTGTAGCACTTTATACGGTTGTAATATTTTTATATTCAAACGAGATAATGAGACTTTTAATATATTGTACCACTTTATACAGTTGTAATATTTTTGTATTCAAAGCCATTATATAATCATGAACGATGGAAAATTCAAAACACCATTTCTGGCGAAGCTACGTCATTACGAACGGTCGTTATGGATAGTAATAAAAAAAAACAAGGGATATCATAATCTTTCAAAACTGGTCTTTCATGTTCTACATTGGTCATGATGACTCGTGCTATGAATGGAAGAAATATTATCTCTCCATAAAGTGGTGCAATGTTTTAAAAATTGAGCCATTGTTCAAAATCGTGGTAGCAATTCCGATTAAATACGTATGGTTTTATTATCGTGATAATTTTCGAGGTTATTTTAGATAGACATTTCAAATTGGATTTTTTTCATTACCAAAAATTCATGTCTTTTTATGCAGTTATTATTTTATGCTAGACTGCTGAAATCTCACACTGTGCGACACTCTAATAATTGTATTTTTAATTTCTCTCACNTAACTCGTAAACAAAGCCGCGAATTGCGTTTTCGTTAAGGAAAAAGTTACGTCAAATGATCTCAGGAACCCACATTTCCAGATTATGACACATTTTTGGGACACCCTGTATACTAATAATAGAATATCCATTTCACAGAAAACTGTAAGCATTATTTGATAAAATAACCAGTTTATCGATTCATAGGATCTAGAAATGTACATAGTTCGTGCCGGTACATTATGCCGACAATTAATAATCATTTCTCAGAATACGAGTACGTTTTATCACGTCTCTAAAATTTTATAGCAGTTAACATGTAATTTGTCCCCCGTTTCAAATGATAACGAGACTTTTAATATATTGTAGCACTTTATACGGTTGTAATATTTTTATATTCAAACGAGATAATGAGACTTTTAATATATTGTACCACTTTATACAGTTGTAATATTTTTGTATTCAAAGCCATTATATAATCATGAACGATGGAAAATTCAAAACACCATTTCTGGCGAAGCTACGTCATTACGAACGGTCGTTATGGATAGTAATAAAAAAAAACAAGGGATATCATAATCTTTCAAAACTGGTCTTTCATGTTCTACATTGGTCATGATGACTCGTGCTATGAATGGAAGAAATATTATCTCTCCATAAAGTGGTGCAATGTTTTAAAAATTGAGCCATTGTTCAAAATCGTGGTAGCAATTCCGATTAAATACGTATGGTTTTATTATCGTGATAATTTTCGAGGTTATTTTAGATAGACATTTCAAATTGGATTTTTTTCATTACCAAAAATTCATGTCTTTTTATGCAGTTATTATTTTATGCTAGACTGCTGAAATCTCACACTGTGCGACACTCTAATAATTGTATTTTTAATTTCTCTCACTTTGCTTTGTTTTTTATTCTCGCGAAAGAAATTTGCTAAGCTTTCTATTTTATTGATCCTTAATGATTATGTCAATTTGACACCAAGGGACAGATCAAGTCTGAAGAATGAGGGATGTACAGGAGTAACGAAAGCTTAAAATGTCAAACACGGTTGTACAAAAGATGGCAGGATAATACTTCTCTCATTTTTGCTCTACCTTTCGAATCAACAAATTCTGTTTCATTTATAAAGTCACATTCTCACCCTTGTGTGCCCAATCCATTTCGGAATTTCTCTCACTAATATTTAATGTTTTCATAAAAATATTGCAAAATTAAAATATCGGAAAATACGACATACAAAAAAATGTGCTCTCCATCACAATAACTCTAGCTTCATGAAAGCAGACATTTTATCTGGATCTATTTAAAATGCATCTATTTCAAGTTATACTCATCCTAGTAAAGTATCCGGGTACCTCGATTGCAACTGTACAATCGATTACTGAATCATGAATATTTTAATTGATCACACAAGGGTTAATGAAATGCATCTTACAACACAAACGTAAAGAAATCGAACGTCTCTTGGTATCTGAACGCAAAAGTTGGGTGAATTGTCGCCTTCAGGAACATACTCTTCATTGCTGGAAAGAAGTCACCTGGAAGGAATGCGGATCTGATTGGTTATTTGTAGACTGCAGATCTTTATGCATTTATGGAGAAAAGTGATAATGTGTAACGTAAAATAGTAAAAACGTCAGAAGAATATGAGAACACACGCTTATTATTTTTAAATAATTGATGTCGTTAATACTAGATTTACCGCGTCCTAAAAGTAATTAACGTGTGTTATACTATAACGATGAAAAGGCTGTATTTATTTAGGCTTTTCGCCCTCTTTGTCGTAATGTACGTTTGGATGAAGAAATTTATTCAACCATTTTGTACGAAAGAGTATTCTACTATAATCTCAGACTACTACTATAATTCTATAATCTCAGACTTTTTTTTATAATTTCAGTGAGTTTGAAACAAAAAATGACCGGTGCAACATTTTCTTTTTTCAAATTGTTGAAGTTATAAAGACTCCTTCTTGAGAAACGATTGAAGAAATTCTTTTATTCGAGTTTCATTATATTGAAAATGGTGAAAAGTTTAAATAAATTCAGCCTTCTTGTCACGTTAGTCACTTTTAGAGTTCGGCAGGTTCAGTGTTCAGAGAAATAGATTGTTATTCAACTCTCATCTCTTAAAATCAATGTAGATAATTCTTTCTTTGCATAAAGATCCACAGGTTAGCTTTCACAATTACGTTGATTATCACTTCCTTGTCCATATTTTCCCTATTAGAACAAGATAATTTCTGTTTCTTATATGTTTTCGTTTACTTGCATTCCTACGTTTTTGATACCGGCATTGCACTGACAGTTAACTCTTTTGTAGATCGTATTCACCTTTTTGCATTTCATATTAAATCAATCCTTTTTCACGTCTTGTTCACTTTTTGATAAATGAGATTCACTTATTTGTAATTTTTTGTAATAAAATTCATATTAAATTCAAAAATTAAATGACATTTTATAAAGAATTATAGAATATTAACGAAGATTCATCGTTTCTGATATGCAATTTGTATTCTTTCATAAATAAGTATATGAATTCCTCTCAAGTTTAAAAATTGAGTAAAAGACTGTCAATCTTGATGTGTGAAAGGATTCATTTAATTTACAGAAAAGTGACTATGATCTACAAAAGAATTAATTTGAAGTCCAGAAAGCTGAATGTGCTGCACAGAAGGGTTAATTTTTAGTGCAAAATCTCAAAAGAGAAGAGTCGTGTGCCCATTCGATTTGATAGAAAAAAATCGCGTTCATCTTTAGTCGATTAAGTAAAAATCTTCGTCACAAGTCTAAGTCATTGTTATAGTGCAAGAGGTTAACGAATCAGATACCGACCAGACAGGGTCCCTTCTGTCCCACGCCGTCCCGCGTGGCTTCTTTCGAGCAGCACACGAGAGTCGACGAGAGCTAACGTGCGATTGTTCATTCCGATTGTTCGCCTTACAGCCGACGCCTCCGAAGAAGCCGCCGAGACGCAACCTATCCGTGTCCCCGACGCACCTGCAGACCCAGATGTCATTGTCCGCGGATTGCTCGCTGGGGCCGAGCAACTACGAGTACTTGTTCATGGCGCGCAGCGGTGCTCGCAGCCACATCGACTTCGAACAATTGCAGAAGCGTCGGGAGCAGTTGCGTCACGTGACGAGGAGCGTGGACCAATACGTCGAGATGAAGTCGCGGGTGCCGGACGGCGAGGAGAGGCGCGACAATAGCGTGGAACCGGTGGCCATCACCTCGATCTACGAGAACCGGCCGATCAAGACGTTGAACCCGCGGCGGAAGTTGAGGAGACACGCGTTCGAGAACTACGAAGCGGACGGCAGCCTGTGCGGCGACAAATCGCCGTGCAGCGAGGTGGACTCGGTCATCCAGGAGCAGACGTTCGTGTCGAACGCGTTCCTCACGCTCAAGTCCTCCCAGGAGAGCCTCCTGGACGAGAAGCGGGACACGAACGATGAGTCGGCGAACGAGGGTCGCGAGGCGACGGACAAGCGCCTGAAACGAGTACAAATGATGCTACCGACCAGTCCCACGCATTACGCACAGCCGCCGACGCCGGACCATCCACCCCCATCAGCTATGCAGGCGGAGAAGTCTATTCACGAACGGATTCGTCCGTTAAGTCAGGTAAGTTTTTTTATGATACAGAATTCTATACAAGGTGTCCCGGATCTCACCTTACACCCAGAGAGGGATGATTTCTGTGGTGATTCTAGTGAGAGTTTTTTTGCGAGGAAGCTAGAACATCTTTCGCAGTCATATTTGCAGGGTTTGTTTATACATGTCTGAAGCGCATTTACAAAGTTTCTCGGTTGCACAAAGTTGAAATTTGTGGCGACGGCTACTTTGAAACATATCCTGTTTTGAAAACGACGTACCATGGTAGCCACGATTGCGACCAAAGAGAAAAGTTGGAAACTAAAAAACTGGCGACGTTTTGAAATTTGATTAACGATTCTTACTATTAGTTCATCAATGTCGGGAACCTGGATAAATGTAAAAAATTAGAATTTTGGGTTAGTTCTAGTACGGGCTGCGAGCATAACTATACTAAATGTGCACCTAAATTTTGAAGGCAATTCGTCAAGCAGTTTTTTAGATATCGTGTGTATCGTTTTGGAAAACATAATTTCGGGAAGGACGCGTTTATAGTTTTGTACACCAATACTGATCATTCATAGTACGAATGTCATATTCGCTATGACATCGTTAATTTAAAAAATTTAGACGTATGGTTTTATTGACGCAAATTTTAGCTACCAATCACATTAATATGGATATTACGCATATGAGGTGTATGAAGTTGATACATTACGTATTTCTGGTATTCTATCTAAGAGGATTCGGATCACGAAGCTTACAGCAGTTTATATAATGCTGCTATTTCATGATGTTGTCGATGATTTCAGAAGTCGGTTAATTTTTACGAAACGGATTTTTTCCAGCAATAATATAACAATTCCTACTATAATATGTATATTCGATTACAAAAACATTCTATGAAATATATCTTTGAAAGTAACGTACGTAGTCTCATTAGCTTTTTACAGTGGGATGATATATCCCAAAAGGCTTCAATGCTGATTCAGAAAATGATACTTATTAAATAGTTTCGAAAATCCCAATAATCTCGAAAGAGTGCACGGAACTCAGTGCTCGCAACGGCTGCCATATAATTGCTATAATTCAACTCAAGTTTCGTCTAATACCAGGGTTACCACCTGACCTCTTTTTGGAGGATATGTCCTCATTTTTTCATCGCGTCCTCCTACCTTTTGATAATTTTGGAAAATGTCCTTGTTTTGTAAACTTCTGAAGATTTCTGAGCTTTATTTTGCAATTTCTGATTCCAATTCTAGTATTTAAAGAGTACAGTAATTTCTCCCTAATTAGAGATACGATTATTCGAGCCTAGCGGCTCGTTTTTATAGTTACCGATTGTCAACAATTATAAAAACGAGACGCGAGTATTTCCTTTAATTAATGCCCATACTGTTGATTGTGTCAGCAGAAGGTATTACCATAAAGTATAATATAATATATTAAAATTATTATATATTATCAAATATTTGAGCAGATTTACGAAAAGAGATATCTTCGTGCTAAAAATGCTCTGTGCAATATAAAAATGAAAGGCTGGTAAATATAAATGTCTAAGTCAGTCCTGCTAACAAGGAGAAGTCTCGAGATCTGAAGCTGACTTGACGATGAGATTTTACACAATGGTAGAACATGTAAAACTGAATCTAATGATATCCGGTTTTAGATGCAGATGGCTTATAATTCCTTAAATACTTAATGTTAAAGTTGTTAGTAACAAAGCCAGAAAGATAAGCAGCTGTGTATTGTTATGTTTACATATTTTATTATAAGTTAAACAGTTTTAGGTTTTTTGGGTTATAGAATCCGATTATGGCATTACTTTTTTAATACGTATGAAAAGTTATGTTTATAAATTATTGAAATTCGTTTAATCAATTAATTATTCAAATTGTTACCCTTATTTTTCGCATATTTTTTAGTATCTATATTAAATTAGATATTCATGTTACAGTTATATTGTATATAAATTTTGTATATATAATATAATATATATTTTGTATATATAATTTTTAGAATGGACTAAAACGTGTGCATTTCATTTCTGTCATTTTACTACATGGAATGATATCATGTTATAGGTCATTGTAATCGTCTCAACGAACGCTGTTATATCATGGATAAAAGAATACAGGGTCCCATTTAAAAATATTATAATTCGACTTCAATATCTCTCTCGCCACCTTACCTATAGAAATATTGTTTATGTCATTTAACGTCCCGCTCTATACCAAACAAATTTTGTAGGAACATATTTTTTTGATAACTTTAAGCCCTCGCGAAATATCGGGCTAAATAAATCGGCGCTGTCTTTCACGCATTGGTTATAAATAAATCGTTACAACTTCTACAGATGCAAACCGATGGAAAAAATTCTTCTTCAGACACCTTCTGTAGGGTCTATCGAACACGTTTCCGCAAGATTCACCGTGACGCGGCATGAATTCCACCTTGTAGCTCTAATCAAAGCAAAAACGAAATCGAAGAAATAAGGTTGTAAAGAAAAGACAGTTTCAAGGAGTTAAATTATGTTTATTTCTTTATCGCTCCTGAGATTTATAGCTAAAAGTATGCTCTTTAATCATACAGAAAGTGAGTGTAATTGTATGAAACCTAAACAAAAATTGAATTACATAAAGAATTACTGTATAATCGTTCTGGAATAGACGTTTTACCGCACTATCAAATTGCTTGAAACACAATTCGAGATGACTTTTGGCAATTCGCACATGCAAAATGTTAGTTCATGTGGATATAAGAACTTATATCTAAAGTATTCATACATTTCCAAAATGGTTGAAAATTTGACTTTAGTTCGTGTTTTCGTGGATCCGTACCACTGTGCGTCGCGTTCAGGCACGCCAGAGAAGTGTTCACATGAAGTGAAGGAATATTCTCCTCCCTCGCTCCATCACTTGTGAGCACTTCTCTGGCATCCCCAGACAAATCCAACTTATCTTTTTGGCTTCCTTACTAACAACTTTAACATTAAATATCTCAAGAATTATAAGCCGTCTAACCACAAAACCCGGTATCATTAGATTCAGTTTTAGAAACTCTTCCACCGTGCGAAATCTTATTAAAAAAGTCAACGGTAGGGACCTGTTCTTGTAAGCATCAGGCAGACCTGGTCTAAATAATACGTCATCATTTGTTTGTTGCAAGCAACTCTAAAAAGTCAACGTGCACTTGTTCTTATAAATTATAGTAAACATTTTCCAAATGTCCTCCTTTTCATACCATTGTCCTCTTTCCAGACAACCCGACCTCCTACGGAAAAAAAGTCGTCCGATAACCGGGCTAGTTCCAATTGGCGACTATAACACTTTAAAGTCTAAATCACCTTCATCGATCCCCGATGGCTAAAATGGCTAAAATCGCTAAAATCAACGGCGACAAAATGAATTCAAAACTCGCCGATCGCGTTTGCCGCGTCCATCAAACAGTTCCGCGTATCAGTTGTCTCCTCACGACTGATTCTCGAATTCTCTCTAATTCCAGACACACAGGGACGCTTAGCCGTATTTTTCTCACGTCGCCTAGCGCAGTAACGCGGATACGTTTGGGGCATTAGCTTTCCAATCGCACATCCAGCGGCTCACACGTTACACGATCAGAGATTCCGTGGATGGTTTTAAGCGGCTGACGCATGATGGCGTCTCCATGATTCGTCACACGGTACCCGGCGAGGCGTGCGAGGCAGGCGTTCAATTTCGCATCCTCGGCTGCTCCTTAGCGGCGTATGTGTGCGGTGGTATCACATGTCGAGACGTCAAACGGTAGCGGCTGACTGGTCGGGTCGCGAAAGTACTGGTCCGGAATGTTCATTTCGGGTGCGTTAACGCGTTCCGAAACGTTTATCGGCTTGCGGGATCGAGTATTTCGGTGGCACCCGTGGCCACGGCTGATCGCTGGCGGAAGGATCCAGCGACGGAAGCTGAGCGGAAGTCGTCGTTACGGCTGCGGCGCGATCCTATGGCTTGGACAGTAGATAAGCAGTCTGTAGGACGCCTTAGCAGGTTACGTTTAATATACAAGCCGTGTTTGATCTGTGATGCGATTTGCAAGGAGCCAGGTCTTCCTCCGTCTCTCTCGCATTCTCTCTCTCTCTCTCTCTCTCTCTCTCTTCTCGCGCTGCAGTCTCTATATCGCTCGTTTCCCGCCGTTTGCCGCGTCATCCTGTGATCGTTCTGCTGTGAGACTGACTGCGTTCACTTCCCATCCGCTGCGAATGGATATCCATAACACACACCGCGCTCGCTTCTATTTCTCCTATATATCCCTATCTTCTGCTCTCTTTATCCGCCTCCTCGTTCCTCCGGCGCCTTTCCCTAGACCTCTCCCCTTCGCGCTAGGCTCCTTTCCGGTGGCTGGTGTATGCGTTCGAAATCCGTGTCTTTCAGCAGTTATACACGCTTCACGAAATATCACACAGTGAATATATGTATCCTACGAACGAGGAGCCGGATGATGGCAAGAGGCTTTCGGGCGCCGCACCGCGACGTGTGTGCGGGCGCAGCCGCTTCAGAGAACGCGTCGCATCGCCATTGCCATCGCCTTGCTTCGTTTTGCTTCGTCTTGCCTCGCACCGCCCCGCCTCTTCTTGCCACGCGTCTCGATGCTTCTTCGACGGATCGAGTAGTTAGTGCCTTGCAGATTCACGGATGTCGGATGCGATATCTTGTATGCTGTTCGCCAGGCTTTGACCTTTATGAGCTTACGCGGACGAACCGCGCCGTTTTCTGGGCCGATTCACTGGAGACCACCGGAAAATCAGTTTTAACAGCAGATTCCTTTTTATCGACGTGCCGAGAAAGTTCCTGCGGTTTTAACTCTTTCACGACGAATGTCGATGTATTGGCAGGGTTACCATCTGACGCCATCTTGGAGGGCATGTTCTCCCTTTTTTCATCTTGTTTTCCGTCCACCCTGCCTACCTTTTAATAATTTTCGGAAATACCCTCGTTTTTCTACCACCCATTGATAACACGATTCTTTTTTCTTCTGGCACAGCTCATATTGGCAGC